CAAATGCAATTTATGACAAGCTACCCCTACATGCATATTGACATGCCTACAATTACTACTCTTACTCACTTAACTATTATTCTTGATCTAAATCAAGTTCCTAATCTAGATAATCCAAAGGAACAAGAAAAGCTGGAGATAAACATAATAAAAACCAAGAAAGCTTTGAATCTCAACAGAAAATGGATCTTATTGAAGAAAGGTTTAAAGTTATTAAAGAGATGGATTTTTATAGTTCAATGGATGCTATTGAATTGTGCTTAGTTCTTGATGTGATCATTCCACCTAAATTTAAAGTCCCTAAATTTGAAAAGTATGATGAAACCAAATGTCTTATAATACATGCCACTATGGACTATCGTAAGATAGTCACATATCCACATGATGAAAAGTTGCTCATTTGTATTTTTCAAGATAACCTTATTAGATCTACTTTAAGGTGATATATCAATTGGATAGGTTTCGCATCTGTGGTTGAAAGAAACTAGCTAGGGTGTTCATCATATAACACAAACACATTATATATTTAACTCTAGACTATTTGCCTTTATAAAGCATGAAAAAAAAAATTGAAAGCTTTAAGGAATATGCCTAGAGGTAAGATACTGTTGCCCAAGTTCAATCACCGTTCACTAATAAAAAAACCATAGTTCTAGTTGTCAATACTCTCAAAGCCATATATTATAAAATGATGATATGGTAATTTCTAGAGAGATGATAAAAAATGCAATCAAGAATAGCAAACTTAAGAAAAGTGGTACAAATGATGCAAAGAGAGATGATGCACCAAATAAGAAAGAAGAAGATGCTCAAGTTATGATTTATAAAAGGCAACAAGTTGGAAGCTTCACTTTATGTTAGCCTTATCCGATGTACCCACCGTATTACCTTTCTATAAACAACCTCTCCTAAGATCTTTATCTTTATCAACTTGTATAACAGTTAGGTTTTCATGCAAACATACAAATCCTTATCCTTAAACAACTGTTATCCAATCTGGGAACAAACAAAAAAGATCAAAAAATAATCAAGAGAGAATTTTAATCCCAATTTTTGACCTCTTGTCTTTATTAATAAAGCACCAATTCTTTATCTCTGTACCTTTAAAAACAACCCCAAATCCATCAGCAAAGAGCTATGATCCAAATGGTAGATGTGATTATCATATGAAGGTAATTAGACATTTAATTGAAAAATACAAGCAATTGAAAAATAAAATTAAAGAACTTATCATTAGTGGCACTTTGATTATGGAGCTTATAGAGCAATGGAAATCTACTTTACAATAGTTTTACTTTTGGATATGAAATATCAAACAATTTGTGAGAAAGTTTCAAAATTTTGAGTTTGTTGTTAAGTTTTTACTTTGACATGTGCATAAGTTTTTGCCTAAGTTTTGCTTTGAATCTTGTCGTATGAATTCCTGCATTACATGTGAAAATAATCTTGAAGGAATTGATAATTATTGTCAAGAATAAACATACCTAGTTATAACCAGTTCGTACTCTAATTCAATTGAGAATTATGCTATTCTAAAGTTTGACTTTCCAAGTCTCACAAACTTGATTTTCACTTGACCGATAAGGATTTCAATTATGATAATCTTCATTAAAGCTATAAACAATGAAATTTGCAAAATCTTTGTAAGCCAAAACATAAGGTACTTCTTAAAAATTTTGAATTTTGGATAATTTGATAAGTATCAAGGCAAGCCTAAATGCAACCTAACCTCTTCAATTTTTTCCTTGAGATATAATTACTGAAAAAGCTATATCTCTTAATATCCTTGTTCCACATCTTAATATATGCAATATCCCTTTTATTTCATTGTCGTAAAACTTTTTTTGCCCATATTTTGGGGCAAGTTTACCAAAAAATGAAATTATCTACTTTTTTAGTATCCTTTCTTCTTGATGGCATTGATTTAATGTTTTGATGTGGGTTGTGAAAATTAAGATTGTTACACTCGGACTTCATTTGGTGTAGTAATTTGAGCTTAAGTTAAAAAAATAAAAAAAAAAAAAAGAATTGATTGTAACATCGTGCATATGAGATATCCAAATGATTCCAAAATTAAAGAAAAATCTTATCTTGAGAATTGCTTTTCAATGAAAGTATCCATATTTGATATGATAAATAATCATATTTTATATTTTTTTTACGAAAGAAAATATCTATTGCTACCCTATTTGAACTTATTGAATTCTTTTTGAAAAACTCTAACTAATGATCTTACTCTACATTGGGAGGCAAGTATTAAAGAAGATTTATTTGAGAAAACAATGGATACAAAGTTAAAGGTAAGGAAAGAATGCCTATATTCAAAAGGCGAGTTTTCAAAATTTTGGGCTTAATTTGTCTTAATGTGAAAAAAAAAAGAAAAAAAAGAAAAAAAAATGAAAATGCATGTTTTGAAAAGATAAAATGAGAATTTCATTAAAAAAAAAAATGACCCTTAGTTTGATTACCCTTAAACACATTTTGGAGATTATTTGTCTTTTCTTTCAAAACCCCAAACTTTGACCTATGTTACGTTATTTAAAAAGCCTATTTTGATCAAGTGTAGATATTTAAATTAAAAGCTTTTCTTTAGGAAATCACCATTACTTTTTTATTTTTGAATGAATTTTGAATTTTCAAATGCATGATGGAATAGTAAAAAAAAAAAAAGATCGAATAGAGCTCTAGGGTGAAAACCTAACAAGGCAATTTAAAGCATGATTAAAAACATTAAACAATGTCATTAGAGGAAAGAACCAAATTAAAATCTTTAAAAAATTCAAAAAAATGAACCCCTATCCGAAAATTTGTTTTGAAATTTGAACCTCTTTTTTTTTTTTTAAAACTTTTGAGCCTATCATAGCTAATTTTGACATTTATTAAATTATCATATCAAGAAATTAAGAGAGTACAAAAGTGAATTGTGCTTTAAAAGATAATTTTTCATTGGTGAGCCCAAATAAAGATATATTGATTTGCTTTTTCCTGTTTAGTGACAAAATCTCTCTTAAGACCTCAATGTATCGAACCGTTTCATTCCCTTAAATAAACTAAATTGAGATTCTTTTTCATTATTCTATGCAATAATCACCAATTTCTAAGAGATTCAATCATATGCTTTAAAAAAATGCATTTTTTGGATCATAAAATAGTTATATGGGCCATTTCTTTGGTTGTCATGAACATATTGGGGCATTTGTTGTGAAGACATTTATATTTGAATTGACATAAATTGGTATGGATAAGAGATATGTGATTTTAGATCATTATGGTAAGAACGACTTTTGGAACAAAGAGAATGGTCAAGGTAAAAGGTTTGAAGAAGATCCATGGATAAGATAAATGGTTTGAAAAATGAAATGCTTTCAGTAAAAAAAAATGGGATGGAGGATTATTGTTGAAAACTAGCTAGCTAGCTAGTTCTAAAGCTCTGTGACAAAAAATGAAAAAGGGCTTGAGGACCTATTTACCACAATTAAAGATTCATAACATTGATTTTTGCATTACATGCATGACATTCATCTTATTCAATACATATTCAGTTGACTTTGGATTTTGATTTTAAAAGGATGAAAATTTGGAAATATGAGATTTTGGCCCTCGATTGAGAGAATTTGTGAAGTATGAGATTTTAATTTTCGATTGAGGAAAAGTTTTCATGACAAAAACAATAAGTTTTAAGCAAAAAAAAACTTTCAAAATGAGATTTGTAAAAGTGTTTAGCCTTAATTAAAAGGTGAAACCTATTCCACTATAAGATGTTTTTATTTCAAAAAAAATGATTTTTTTTTAAGTTTCAAAACCTCTGTTAAAAAAAAGCTTTTTCAAAGATAAAAAATTATTTGTAAGACCTCCAACCATGATTTGTAAGACCTCTAAACATAATTTTCAAAACCTTTGGGCATAACTTATAAGACTTCCAGACATAATTTGTAAAACCTCCGAACATGATTTGTAACATTTTCGAACACAATTTTAGATAAACTAAAATTTAAAAAATAAAACCTTTTGATAAGATTTTGATCCTCGTATGCAGAAAATATTATGAAAATGAAATTTGAAACCTTTAGATGAAGATAATGATTTCGAAAAAAATTGGTAAATCTTGGTTAAAAAGCTTTTTCAATTTTAAAGTTTTATAACTTCTGTATAAAAGAGTTTTTTTATCACAAGATGAGAATTTTATATACAAATCCTTGAGACATTGAATTTTAAATTTAAACTTTTCAAACGAAGAATCTTTAAGTCTTGGATATGAATCTCTAAGATTTTCAAATGTGAATATTTGAATTCTTAATGTGAATCTCGAAAAATTATGCAAATCTTGAAAACTTTTCGATGAATGAACCTCTAATCTCCTTCAGATAATAATCTCTTTTATATTTCTAAAGTTGTGGAACCTCTATTTAAAGTAGCATTTAAGTGTTGAGATTTGTAAAACCTATGGGCATAGTCTCTTTAAGTCTTCCAGCAAGATTCATAAATCTTCTGAGCTGAATCTTTTTTTGTGTCATGATTTGTAAAACCTCATGACATAATCTCAAGTCCTTTGAGTAAGATTCGTAAGTCTTTGAGCTGAATTTGTTGAGCAAAAGTAAAAATATTTTTATATTTTTCAAAAGTGATTGAACCTCTGTTAAAAGAAACCTTTTATATTTTTCAAAAGTTTTTGAGCTTTTGTTGAGATGAATCTTTTATATTTTTCAAAAGTTATTAAGTCTTTATTAAAAGGAACCTTTAATATTTTCAAAAGTTATTAAACCTATGTTGAGAAGAGTTTTTTATATTTTTAAAAACTATTAAGCCTTTGTTTAGAAGAACATTTTATGTTGTTCAAAAAGTATGAGTTTTCGTTTAAAAAAATCTTTTCAAAAAAAATATCGAGTCGATTACCCGAACGTAATAATGTCTATATCTTTGCATAATTCTTGTTTCATAAAAAAATATACAAAAAAAGACAGCTATGGATACCCCATTTAGTTTGAGATTTTTAATTTAATTTTAGAATTTTAGTATTTTGTTTAGTTTAAGATTATTTATTTTGTTAATTAAAAGATTTATGATTTTTTTTAAAAAAAATAAATAAATAAAAGAATTTGATTCAGTTTGAAGTTAGTGTTCTAATTGAAAATAATATATTAGGTTAAAAAGTGGACTTGACTTAAAAATCCAAAATTGACTTTGATTAAGAGATTGAACCAAGAAAACATTCTCCTATTGTGATTTGGATTAAAGGCCTATAAAAAGATCTCATACAGATGAATCAAGAATCAATAAAAAAAATCAAGAAAGAAAAAGTAAAAATAAAGTAGAAAAATTGAGAGTTTTTTTATAATCTTTTCTAATGTTTTGAGTTTAAATAATTAGAATTTTCTTTTTGAAAGTTCTATATTGGAAAAAAAAGTTAAAAAGAAATACAATTACAAAAACCTACGTGCTTTGGAATCAATTGTGATTCAATCTTTGATATTTACTTTTTACTTATTTTTTTTTAAGTTCTAGTTATCTTTGTATTTTATCATAATTGTCTATTTATTTATTTGTTTATTTGTTTATTTTATTTATTTGACTATTTATGTATAATTTTAAAGAAAAATTAAAAAGTATTTACAAATAAATAAAACATTAATAAATTGTTTGAAAATAAATAATAATTATCCAATGATGAGATTTTTTTTAGAAATTACAAAATGGTTAATTCTTTAATAAATCTTTAAGTGTAGAATTTCTCTAAATTCAACCCAAATAATAGAGTAATTTAAATGAAATTTTAATAAAAGTAATTATATTCTTTTTCAAACAAAAAAATTAAAAATATAAATTAAAAATTTAGGTGAAAATATTTAATAATTATCCAAAATGAAATCTTAAGAAAAATCACAAATGATTGAATTTTCATAAGATTTTTAGGTAAAAAACTTTTTTTTTTTTAAATTTAACCCAAATGATGAAAAAATTTAAAAGAGATTTCAAAATAATTGTCTTATTTCGAATTAAAAACAAATGACAAATAATAAGAAAATATTTCTAAATTTAACTTAAATGATAGAAAATTTAGAAATTAAATTTGTAAGGTATTTCTAAATTAAGCTCAAATGGTAAGAAATTTAGAAATAAAATTTGTAAAAAGAAAAATAAATTCTAAAAATGAAATTCAATCGCAAATGGATGATTATTTAAGATATTTTTAGATGAAGTAATATTTTTAATTTAAACCCAAATGGTAGAAGAATTAGATGTATTTTCAATAAAAAAAAATTGATTAAACTTTCTGACGACGAAACCTCTTTAAAAAAATAAATGAAATTCTTGAATACTCTCATAATGAGAAAATACTTTTAAAAATTCTTCCAAACTAATGAAACTTTTAAAAGTTATTTCCAATATTCAAATGTTAATAAAAGATCATTAAAATCAAAACCTTACGATAATTTAAAATAAAATGATACCTTCATTTAGATGTGCATGTGAGGATGTTATAACATCTCTCATAGTAATCGAACTCTCAAATCTTATTCTAATTAGTAGATCAAAACTTAATTTTTAAAGATCTTTAGTCAAACTTAAGATTTAATTAAAAAAATAAATTCATTTGGTGATCAATCACATATTAAAAAAAATTAATGATGACTTCTTAGGTTATATCTAACTATAAGTCCATATATCTATATATTATGACAAATAAGAAATTCAATTAAGAGAAAATTAAAAGGCACCGTATGCACTATCATAGTAAGGTTCATGCAATTGCATCTTCCTGAAAACAAATAGCTTCAAAGAATTAGAAAATTGTGGAGCCCCGTTACCTCAAATTCTGCATTGCTGACTGCCCCGTATGGAAGCTTAAACTCAGACATCAACGCCCTCTACAACATCAGCATACAAGCAATCTGCTACCTATGCCTCAGAGCTTTCAAAGTAAAAAGGGTAACGAAAGAGGGAAGTCTCCATGGACAGAAACCATTTTCTAAGCTCCTCGCTAACCAGAGCAATAAAAAGAATAATAATGATAATCATTGTTACTAATCAATATAAAAAGACAAGACAATTAATTTCAGAACCAGAATATCATGAACTTACGTTATACAATACACAAGACGAATAACAAAGTGTGAAATGATATTCTTGTTTACATCATCTGTTGCCTGCAGATGACTCCTATTTACTTTCCAAAGATCCATTGCCTGAGCAAATACAGGATGTGAAACTGGAGAGCGAAAACAATAAAATTTGTTAAAAAAAAAAAGAAAAGAAATGTAAACACAAACTCAAACTTTTATCAATCTTTCCATTTCTTGGGGTTCTTTCCATGGGATAATCCATCAGAGATCCCTTTTAGAACCGTGCATCTAGCAATTAAAAGAATCAGATACTACAAAAACATAAATATGAGAAATCCATAGAGCTTAACTATTAATTTTGTGATTTAACTATATTTGGTGAAGCTCCAAATAGAAATAATTAAACGTTTGCTGAAAATCCTATCTATAAAGTTCTTACTCCTGGAGAAATTGAACGGTACAAAACCATCATAAAACTTAATTCTCTTACTTTCTATTCCTCTTCTTTAGCATCGCTTCGTCGGCACCAAATCAGCGAGTCAAAAAAATTATTAACAATAGCCGCTTTGTTCGTACGAGGTTGTTTTTCTTGACCAATTAAAGCTTTTGAAATAGTAGCAGAGAAAAGTACGGTACCTCGGAGACGATCCATGGCGAAGAGCTCGAAATCTTCGAGTCGGACTTCGAGGGGAGGAAGAGATCGGTAGAGAGGAAGAGTTGAAACGACGACGTCGTTATAACTGGATTTCCTATGAGATCGAACTACTTCCATTTTCCTTTTTGGCTTCTTTCCCTTTTATTTTTTTCCCTTTGTGCAATTTCGATTGCAAAGTTTGAGCTTACAAGCGGCATTTTTCGCTTTTTTTTTTTTTAAGTTACCGTAGTGCAGAGGGAAAAAGAGCGCCAAAAGATTAAGAGCAAAGGGGAAATTGGCGGGAAATAACCACCCGAGACTCACGGGTAGGATGAGGAAAAAAATTGAAAAAACTAAAAATTAAAAAAATTGAATTAAATTATATATTTTTATTAATTTTTATTTAAATTTATTTAAATAATTTAAAAAAATAAATTTAAAAATTAATGAACAAAATTGAATCAATAAAATTTAATTTAAATTGAATTATATAAAATCTCATTCAAATTCAAATTAAATTTTAAAAATTCATAATTTTATATATTAATTAAAAAAATCAAATAAAATCCAATTCATTATTACCCTTATTAATTGATAACTCACTTTCATTTTTAAATTAATAAATTCAGTTAGATTAAATTTTTCTAAATTAATAATTTAATTGAATTAATAAAAATAAAATATGAAAACCTCAAAACAGAAAACCCCTCAAACCAAAATTCAAATAATTGGATTTTAAAATTAACAAATTTAATTCAAATAATAAATATAAATTTAATTTAATTTAACTAATTTAATTTTAAATAATTCAATTCAAAATTAATTAAATTAACTAAACAATAAACTCTCTCACATACGAACATTGGATTCAAAAGTAATCCAATTATAAGCATTTTAATAATAGAAGAATTTTCTTTTATTCATGGGGAGTAAGAGAAATCAGATGAACAGATAATCTCTTTTAGCTTACATAATGTATTAACCCTTTTCCTCTTCCCCTTCCGGAACCTACATATCTATAAAAGAGATGAACAAGAAAGAACTTCTATCAAAAATGATATTACCCCTTGATCACACACAACATCATCTCTACAAAATTCAGCACCCACTCCGATTTAACGTTTGGATTGAGCACTATTACCCATATTGGAGAACTTGAGTCCAAAGACACCCATGAGACCTGGAAATCAGTCTCCCAAACATAAAATTTTAAATTTTTTTAAACCTAAGATTGTCATGATAGTTGTCTACTTGATCGCATCTGTTGTGGCACAGCGTTCGTGGCACTGCGTGTTCGTGTGAGAAAAGAACCATTCCCACCTGAAAACATCATCCCGAAGAAACCGGAACTTGAAGACCCATTAGTTTTGTCTTCTGAAGTGCAATTCCCACTGGCAGCATCATGGCTACCTGATTCACCTACTTCCTGAAACCATATAAGTCACCATTGAGACCAAAAGGACGCATTTGGAAACATAACAGGAGAAATCAATTGTGTGTGTGAGAGAGAGAGAAAGACAGACAGAGGAAACGAAAAGATTAACCTTAAGGCCTGAAGCAGAGACGGCATTTCTTGGAGATCTTTTAACCTGCCAGAAGTCAAAGCAGAGAAGGGTTTTAATAAAGGGGACAAAAATGTTTTAGATCAAGCATTTGGACTGAAGCCATGATTTCTTTCTTTATGCAGGTCCTGAGGACCAATTTGGCTTAACAAAGAAGTCTCCTAAGATAATTTAAAAAATATCCCGTGGAACCAAATTTCTCCATGCATGCAAGATAAACATGACAAAAATCATTAACATCTACTGTAAAAATTGATAAAGTATTTGTCTTGTGGTTGAGTAAAAGATATAAGAAAAGCCAGAGAACAGAATCCCCTATTGTTCCTTACCAAAAATAAGATCTTTTTTTTTTTTTTGGGCAAAAAATGAGCTTCCAAAAGTCCATTTTCTCATTTTCTGGTGCTCGGAAAACTGAAAATTTGGTGCAATGGAAATGACTAAGTCAACGAAAAAAAAAAAAAACCTTGAAAAACAGAAATTGTCTTCCTATTCTGAAAAGAAGATGACAATTTCCTGGTTTATCCTCAACCCTTCAAAACCTCAACAGACCTTCCCTTCAAAACCCATGCCACGCAACCACCAAAATCCAATGGCCAAACAACGGCAACCACTGGTAAACACTCCAGTTCCCAGAGCCATGAATTGGCCTAAACTTCAAGATCTCCCTCTCCTACACACTCTCCTTTTCAGTCTTCAGACCCAAACCAACCCACCTCAAATCTCCCACTTACTTCTCTGGCCTCCTTCAATGGCAAACACTCATTTTCCAGCTCCATGGAAAGCTCCATTAACAGAGAACAACCTTCTACTCTGCTAATCTCCCAAACTGAGAAGGCACCACTAGCCTAAACTCTTCCACCAAGCTCTAATGGTCTCAATCTCCCACTCCTCCAATGAAGGACACCACAGAAGACCAATCAGAATTTTAGCCAAGAAGCAGTAATGTTCTGGAATTCTCTTTTACGCCAAATTGATACTTTTTTTTTTTATGATTATTCGTATGTATATAAAATTGTAGATCTGTTGTTGCTCAAAATTATTTTGTTAATGATGATGAGAAATTATTATGCATGAGTTTGTGCATAAGAATTTACTCAAACTGGTTCAAGGTTCAGTAAATTAATTAGTTTTTATGGTGTTGCTAAAAAATTGTCAAAGAAATTTGCAAATTCTCTCATTGACAACCAAATAATAGAAAATATTTTTCATCATATCATCCAACAACAGAAAAAGCATTTTCCATTTCTGTGAAACAACCAGCCCTTAACCTCAGTAATATTCTGTTCTTTTAATTCTAATTCAGGACTCTGTCAAGTCAACTAACCTTATGAGTTCCATTGGAGTCGAAAGATGGCGATTCTACTGGTAACATGGGAGGCAAAGACCCAGTCTGCTTAAACACAAAGAAAAGAATTATCAGAACACATAACATGCAGTTTCAACCACTTGCTCATTAACTTCAACTTATGGAATCAGGAACTAAATTTTAACATCATTTAAATAAATTGGACAGGCCAAATATGCAACGAATTGCATCAAATATCAAATATGCATGCTAGGATTCTCAGTCTGATCAGACAAAAAAGGTGGACTGCAAGCCTGAGATTGACTGACCTATATTTGGTTGATGGAATTGAAACTAACTGAATAATAGAAAAACATAAAGAGGTTGAAAGGGACCAGTCTTGAAATTCTACCCTTAAAATGCATGTTCCGCATAGTCCAAGAGTTTTATTATTTAGCTTCAGAGCAAGTAATCATTCATCATCAGACCATGCATTAAACAGAAAAAAAAAAAAAAAAAGAGAAAAAATCTAACCCTTGATGGTGTTTTCATTGGTGCTTCAAGAGCTGGCCTGGAGGAACTATCCGGTGATGCCTGCAAGATTGAAACAGTCAGCATGATGAAACAGGAGCACAGGAAACAAGACGAAAGAAACATCTAAAATATGTGGCTCCAAAAGCACCAGTAGAACAATGATTCTGATCAACAGTGATCCAAAACAAGAACAATCATCACTTCAACGTTGTGTCAAGTAACACAATAATTGATAAGTATAATGAAATATTGACAAAGAGACACCAAGAAGAGAAAGAGAAAGATATAATGGAAAACATAAGAGTTCATTGAAGATAAGATACATAACATAGAGGAAAACACACCTGAATACGATCAGCGGATCTATTCCATTCCATGGTCTGGGCATAATCACACAGACAGTTTACTCCTTCATTTGTCATATCCTATGTAAATGATATAAAACCATACAAATTAACAAAAGCAATAAAAAGAAATCACTTTAATACAGCACTGTATATTTATGTTGTTAATATAAGAATCACCTGTTTTCCTTCTAATCTGTTAATCTTACTTTCCTGAGAGAACACCCCCCCAAACAAAAGGAGAAGGTAGTCTTAGGTTCACATCCAGAAAGTATACAGACAACCACATTACAGCAAAATGTACAAATATCAAATCCTAGAATGCTTACCAGAGTTTGAACTACATAACGAACAGATTGAACATTGCTGTTTAGCATCTTCGATTTATCTTGTAGCAGAGAAACCTATACAGCTCAATCAATTTTCAGTGAATAACAATGAAACCTCTATATATGAAAATTAAGTTACTCCTACAATCTTATCTCACCTCGTCTTGTGTAGTAGTAGTAATATCTGCAATTTCATCCAGATGTTTATCCACACCTTCAATTCTTGTGGATAGATGTCGTCTGGTAGCCTAGAATGGAACAAGAAAAAATTAAAAAGGAAGAGGGGGCAAAGGAGAATTCCGTCAATTTACTAGGTAAAACACTGGAATGAAGTATGGAACGCAGAAACATGTAACTCGTTACTTGAAACTTCCATATCGTGCGGCCATCCAGGGATTTAGCCAGTGTAGCTTATCATATAAAATTCACGAACCATTTAAATGAGAAAAAGTTATGCCAAAAAAAGAAAGGCTTGCCGAGATTGACGAGTAAACACTCTCAAGCTGCTTGGCTATGGCATCACGTGCATCAGATAAACTACGCCTTGTTGCAAACATCATATCAGGAAGTCTCCAACCCTGAAATCATTCAGGAATATAACATTAATACTCTAATTAAGAGTAAAGTAACAATTTTGAAGCAAAAAAATCCAAGAAATGGCATAGAGCGGCAATTCCTACTTCTGTCTCCTAAAACAAATATATATAATTTACTAATCCCTAAACTGAAGTAACAAGAAATTAAAATTCTAAAAAGATGTGTTTAAATATTTATCTACCAAGTACTTCCAATACCTTTCTCAAAAATATTTTACATTCTTAAAGTGTAAAATTTCACCGCTTAAGAATTATCATCAGCTCCAATTGCTGAGTTTGGTCATCCATCATTCTTAAGAAATTTCTCACCAACTGCTCAAATATCCAAGATTTAAGTTGTTTCAAGATCCATACCATGTGTATGTGGGAAAAAAAAAATCCCTGCTTATCAGTCTTAACTCTTAACAAACTCTTCATTTGAGAAAAGGTAGGGATTACTGAGAAAAAAACAATGAACTTGAAAACTGTATAAAAAGAATGACAACAAGCCAACTGAAATCATAAAACAGGCTTCAGCCTTAGGTGACAGAAGAACAAGCCAGCAAAGTACTGGCCATTTTGAATAGATTGGCAAAAATATCTGCCATGGCGATAGAGAAAATGTGAGTAGTGCAAGAAATTTTTATGTGGCTTAGTTATCAGAGAAATGCAACCATCTTATTATTAGTTGCTTCATGGATAACCTATGCACATTAATACACTCAAAAGGAATAAAAAATCATTACCTTCCACCAAACATAGCCATATCCAACTACTACAACAACAATGATTATGCTGTATTTACTGGTACCTGCATGTGGCAAAAACATTCCAAACTAATGCTCAGGAACTGGATAGTGTTGAATTTAATTGATGTTTATTGGAAATTATCATGTCTCTAAAAAGAATTAAGTATAGAAAGAAAACAGTAGCACAAAAACTGATGAGTGTCAAAAAGAAAAGAAAAGAAAGTGTCAACAGCTAATTAAGAAAAGGGATCCTCAGCATTTGCTTATTCATACAGATCCATAATAGTTGAGCGTATTGCATAAAAGAAATGACAAGAGAATGCAATTTGGCATAATTTTGTCAAAATTTCTAGTTAGAGTATGTGCCATTTAGAGCAAGATGAAAGGCATATATATTTTTCCCTGTCAAAGAGTGGAAAAATTCATAACCTGTTCCACGTCCAGTTACAATCGTAATTGGTCTGTTTGATGCCAAGATTTGCAGCTCCTGCCTTAGGCTGCTAACCTGTAAAAGTAAACAAGTTTGAACAATATATAATTACACAAATTTAAATACACATACTAGTATCAGGATAACAGGGAGCTACTGAAATGATCAGCACACCAAATTAATAACAAAAAGTTGATGAATGCTTAGCATTAACATTTAAATAAACAGGATAATCAGTAACGAGCACAAACTTAATCTGCGACTTTGCCAGATCACGTGAACATTTTTTCAGGATTTAAGTGAATGTAGAAATTTATAGTCTAATAAAATTTCTATTTAGCCACCCACTCCTTAATTACCATTATATCAAAATGTCACAAGAAAATAATCTTCAAGCAAATTCAACCTACTGCCATCACTAAAAAGAAAGATGTAAAATTATTATTTAAAATAATCAACAATCATGATGTCACAAATTTCTTTTCAATCATCATTTATTTAGTTAAAGGTCTGTGCATAAAAAGAAAAAAAGAAGCGAGAACTAAATAAAATGCATTTTCATCATTTTTCAATCGGCATTTCAATTTTCAACCATAATAATCAAACAAACAGAAATAGTTCCAAATATCAGAAACAAATGCGAATATACCACATTATTAGAGTATTATTCAGCAGTCATAATGGAGATAAAAGATCAAATGCAAACCTGAGCCATCAAATAGTCATTGCGTGGCTTGTTTACTGATGGAGTAGAATCATCATGTTTCAATTGCCGAAAAGCAAACTGCAGCAGGAGACAAATTATTCTAAGTCAGCAAGAAAGTAAATGCAGCATCATCTCAAATTCACATATTTTAAGGAACACAAAAAAACTGTCTTTAGTTTTTAGTCATGGCTCAGAAAAGTGGGAAAATACCTTCAAAGCACCAGAGAAAAAATCAGAAACATTTGACATGCGCCCTTCTTTCACAAGAATAGAGCCAACAATACCTAGAAGACAAACAATAGCTAATTGGTTAGAAAAGAAGTTCTTTCCAATGGCTGAGGCATAGGCAAATTGGTAGCCCCATTATTCTTTCCAAGGGGAATAAACATTAAAATAATAACATGTTCAAATATGAATATACTATGTTTGAACAGAATCATCAACGCAATGATTCTGTCAAATTACTTCATTCATTTAGAACTCAAAAAGACGTAAACTATGTCTAAATTAAACTTGGCAATTGAAGCCTTCTTTCTTTTCTCAAAGGTAAAGTAAAGACCAAGCCCATGAGCTTACTATCTTAGATTAGAACAAGTTCATAGAATTATCATCCATTGGTATGCTTTGTGTTTCTAACAATTTTCATCAGGTTGGATCATCTTCAGCTAACAAAAACAAGATTCCATGTTATATTAGAATTCCAATCACAGTCCTAAAGCTATGACCTTGGTCCTAATTTGCTATCTAACACAGCAGTTAAAACCCCCTAACTTCAATCCTAAACTCCTCTAAAATCATAATAATTGCCAAAACAGCCGCAAACCAGCAAACATTCATACTAACTCCACAATCAATCAATCAAAATATCCAATCACATAAAATAAAACCAGAGCTAATCCTACTTGAAATCGGGGGTCTATCTAAAACCCTAAATTTAGTTCCACTAACAAAAAAAATCAGTGCTAACCACTATAAAAAATCCAAACAACAACTGATTTTTAAGTCGAGAAAACGAAAAAACAACTAACCCAAAAAAAAATCACAAACAAAACCAAGCAACCTACTAAACTATAAAAATCCAAACAATAACTGAATTTTAAGTCAACAAAACGAAAAAACAGAGGGGAGGGGAGGGAACGATTGTACGCACCTGCACCGACGAGTATAGTTAACTTGCCAAGGGGAAGAGCCATGACTAGCTACGCTACCTTGTGTTTGTAAGTTACGAGCATATATACGAAATAGTAGAGAGTAGCATGAAACAAAAAATTTGGATAACAAGAAATTGATTTATTTGATTTTTTAAAAATTATAAATTATTATTAATTTCTTGGGTTTCCACTTTCTCCACTCCGCTTCTGTTGCAGTTGAATCACGGGGGTTTGATTCCGGTTAACTGGAATCAAAGGTTTCGTTAATTTGTGTTTGCTAAGTTTGTTGGTTAATTCGATCAAGGCCTTTGAGTTTTTGGTAAATCACAGAAAAACAACCATGTCAAACGAATATGCTAGCATTGTCCTGTTTCATAATTACGAAATTATCCTGTATGTCCTTCCATGTTAAATATTAAAAAAGTTTTTGAATTATTTTAATTTTTTAAAGTTTTTATATTCCATTGTATTTAAATAAATTTTTATTTCAAACAAAAATTATATTATATTAATAATTTATTTAAGTATAAATTAAAATTTTAAGTTTTATTTGAATATAAATTAATGGTTAAAAGTTTACTTGAGTTCAAATTAAACATTAAAATTTTATTTAAATAAAATAAAAATATAAAGATTTATTTAAGTAAAATAACAAAGTTTAAAGAGATTTTTATTTAATCTTCTATTTTTTTGTTTATTTTATTATTCTCAAATTTTTATTTTATTTTATTTTATTTTTGTTTTCTATAAATGTCATAAAGATTTAATTTTAGTTTTTAGTCAAATGGCCTTTTTTTTCAAATAAAGTAAACAAGGATAGATTTTTTAAAGTTACATTCATAATCAATAATTACATCTATATAATCCACTAAATAATTAAATTTATATACAATAAGATTTGAATATATACAAAATAAGGATACTAAATAAAAAATTCATAGACAAAATAAGGATAAATTTTAATACATTAAACAAAACAAAAGGTGATAATTTATTTTTTTATATAAAAATTATGTCACAATGTATAAGTACGAGAATTAATCCATTAGACACAACAAATAGAATCTTACCAAATTTTTTTATATAGGTTTGATTAACCATTTAAGTAAATTTATCCCTTCTAAAAAAGTTTTAAGTTCGACTAATTTTTTTAAGAAACTTTGACTAAAGGTTTTTAAAAAATAGATTATAATCTTAAAACTAAATTAGGTTTGAAAATTTAATTACATGTAATAAAATTATATTGCCCTTACAATATCCATTCTAAAATAATATCAATTAATCTTAAATTATCTTGCCTAAGCCTTTATTAAAATGGTCTCTATTTTATTCATAAATAACTTTCTAAACAGAACTAAACTAAATTAAAAAATTTTGTCACATGTAAGAAAGTTATAGCATTTTTACAATATCCATTCTAAAATGGTATCAATTAATCTTAAATTATCTTGTCTAAACTTTTATTAAAATGGTCTCTATTTTATTCATAATTATTTATTATTTTGATTAATTTGTTTTAATTTTATTTTTCTCAAATTAAAAATAAATATTTAGATCAATTTCTAAATCCTCCAACAATTTGACCGAATTAAAAAATCTAGTTGTCGACACTAAAAGCTTCAAAGATTCATTAGAAACTTCAAACTACCATCGAAAATATAAACAAAAAAATTCAAGGTCGCCATAAATTTTAATCAAAAACTTCAAAATACAAAAGATTGTTAGAAAATTTAATCAAAAATTTCAAAATGCAATTTTAAATTTTTAAAAATTCCTGAAACAATTCCCTAAAACCGATTTTGATTTATGTTTCTCCAAATCTAATCTAAATCTAATTTTTTTTCAAATCTAAAACTAAAATCTAATAAGAACTCAATTTAAAAAATTATGAGACTAAAAGATCACAGCAAAAAATTTTCCAATTCTCTTGCTTTCCTTTCTATTGTTCCATCCTAGTGCTTAAATAGGGAACTAATATTTATTTAAGTAAACATCCAAATATAAAGACAATTATTCTAATCTATTCTCACTAAACTTCAACTTTACAGTTTAAATGCAATTTTAATTTGAATCTTTTACAAAAACAGGACAAATACATTTTTTTATTCAATTGTATTACAATCTCAATCAAAAGTGCAATAAACAGAAAAAAGACTTTTAAGTTCAAAACAATTCTAAAAACTTCAATTTTCCTTCAAACCCAACTCTTCCACTTTTGCAACTTTTGCCAAATCTTTTTGAGTTAATAAAATTAAAAAACCAACCAAAATAAAAATTTAAATCTAACTAAAATTAGTGTCTACACATTATATAGTTGAAACCTGAAATAAGTAATTAAATTCCATTACATCTGCTCATTTGGTTGTTAAAAAAAATAAAAATTTAATATTAAAACTTAATGGATTAAATTAGATATTTGTTAATTTATATGCCTAGTTTAACTGGATCATTCCATCAAAATTTTGATCTCAGATTCTATTCCCCGAAAGTTATCATCCCATCAATTTAACTATAATTACAAAATCCTAATTCCTAATAAATAATAATTTATTTTAAATATTTTAATTGAATAAATATAAGATTTTAACTAAAAATTTTTAACTATGATAACTCCAAGAAATCAAGCCCGTAGGATCAAAACTCCAACTCATCAAACTAAACAACTCTTGAATGAGAAATTTCAAAGTAACTAACTAGTTTTAAGTCCGTGCTATGCATGGGTAAGTAAATTATTATAAGTTTTGTTATTTAAAATTATTAGTTTTAAAAGAATTATATGAGTAAAATATTGGAAAGTCTATATGGATATAATAAATACATGATTATATTTAACATACCCTTTTTTTACAACGTTAGAAAGGCAAGTTTTAATTTTAATCAAATATTTAAGAATATTATGTAATTTCAAAATTTTAGAGTAAAAAAATTGTTTTTATTTTTAATTCAAAAAATTAATTGTTAAATATCACTTATTTAAAATTTTAAAGCTTTATATTTATGTTATGCACAGGATAAATGTATTTATAATAATTTTTGTTATATAATATTATTTCGAAATTTAATATAATTACAATTTTAGAGAACAATTTAAATTTTATTTTCATAATTACAAAAATATTGATAATGGTTAACGAAAACCTTAAGTCACCCTAAATAATTTTTTCTCATCATTTTATTTACAATTTAATAAAAGGTTTACATAAATATACTATATGGTTAAACGCGATTTGAATTTGCCTGTTGAGATTTAAAAAGTTACATTTAACCACCCTGAAATATATACCCGTGTCATTCCGTTACTTTTCATTAATACTGTTAACATCTAATCAAATAAATCCTGACTTTTTCTCTAATTTTTTTTATTGCAATTTCTCAAATTCAAACTTTTCAAAGAAAATTTAGTGTAAAAGTATGAATTCTTCACAATTTTCACCAAGTGGGGATCATCTAGAACAAGAAACAACGGAAGCAACTTTTCTTTATCTCTTTTTTAAAGTAAAACACAACAATCATCATCATCATCATTAATAACAACAAGAACCCTAACAAAAACATATACCCATCTGTCAAAGTCTTGAATTTTTCTTTGTAAAAGAAAAAAAAAGTTTGAATTTAAAAGAAAAAATTTTGAATTTTCTTATTGATTTTTGAGCTTTTTTTATCTGAGTCATTGATGGAATCGAGAAATAACAAGGAGAAATCATCAGTTGAGTCGATATTTTTTAATCATCATCAACAACAACAACAATAACAAGAGTCCTAACAAAAACACTTACCCATTTGTCAAAATCTTAAATTTTTTTTTTTTTTTAAAGTTTGAATTTTCTTGTTGATTTGTGAACTTTTCTAATCTAGATCAATGGTGAAATTGGGATATAACAAGGTGAAATCATCATTTGGGTCAATGTTCTTCAATTGATCATTTACAATGCATGCAACCGCAGTGAAATCCAATCCTCTCAAAGTTCATATTTTTCTCAATAATCCATCATCTTTTAATAGTGCAGCTTCCATTTTCAAAATTTACAATTCAATCAATTCCATCAAAGGTAAAGGTATTTTTGTCATTTTATGATAGACGGGGTCTAAAAAATACTAACAAAATGACACGAACACACATCTAAATGTGATAAAGTGTCACTATTTAAACTTCAGGAGGCAAACTCAAATCATGTTTAACCATAATATATATTTATGTAATTTACCTTTTAATAAATAACCTTGATTTGATTGTTATAAATAAAGCTACAAAAGTACAAAACAAAAAAAGTGTGAAATAGATTTTTTCCAATGCATAAATAGAAAAGCAATTATAAGAACACCAAATAATACATATAATCTCATTTCACAAAAAAAAAAAAAAAAAAAAACACAATCTAACCACTTTAAGTCTATTGCCAATAGGTATAAAATAATTTTATTATTTCCACTCACATCTTCATTAAAGAATCAAAATATAATTTGCTACTTTGCTTCCCTAAAGGTATGAGCAAAATCAACAATTCTAATTTTACTTATAATAATTATAAACTTCCTGCTCCTTTTGAGATCGTTATAGGATATAATTGTCACTTTAAATTTAATACCATATATATTCACCTAACTTTAAAGGGACATAGAAATAATTAATTAGATAAAGTTACATGTTTAAAAAATTAATGTGAAAATAAAATTCAATATTAATTGTAGAAAATTTTTAGTAAGATTAATATATTAAATTTAGAAATTAATTACATGTATGTTTTTTTAAATGGATAAAGGAGTTGTATTAATATATATATATATATATATATTATCTTATATTATGAAGGAGTTGAATTTACATTAAAACAAACCATTGGCATTTTTATTTCGCATTATGTGTTTCTTTTTTTTTTTTATGAATTAGTGGCATACCAATATGGTATATTGAAATATCTATTTATCTAAAAAATAAATTGAATCATGAATATCTATCTAAAAAAGAAATATAGAAGAATATAGGAGATTGGATATAAGAGTTTCAATTATAGTTTTAGTATTTCCAAAATTTTAGGATATGTTAAATTAAATGAGTGGTAAATTTTACAAAATTAAGGAATTTGTTCTATTTTTTATAAGATTTTTACGAATTACAAACTAATACCCCCTACATCATCTAAAACCTCATTCATTGAGAATTTAGAAAATATTTTTTTCTTTTTCAATTAAAACTAAGACATATTTAGCCAAGTCATAGTCAATTATATCATTTTAGGTGGATTTAGCTTATAATATAATATTTGAGAATCCTCATGATTTGGTTCCCAACCAATGTATAGCTTATCCAATATGGCAGCATCCAAATTAATCAATCGTCCTTGATATTTGATTGTAAAACCTTATAAATTAACATAA